AATAATAATAATAATAATAATAATAATAATAATAATAATAATAATAATAATAATATAATAATAATAATAATAATAATAATAATAATAATAATAATAATAATAATAATAATAATAATAATAATTAATAATAATAATAATAATAATAATAATAATAATAATAATTAATAATAATAATAATAATAATAATTAATAATAATTAATAATAATAATAATAATAGTAATAATAATAATAATAATTAATATTAATATTAGAATAACAAAATAAATCCTAAGTAACATAATTTTATACCGCTTAAGGATGATGATAAAAATCAATATATATATATATAGTTATATAAAACTATACATATAAAACTATACATATATATATATATATAGTTCTAATTAAAAGAGAAACAAAGCACCGTCATCACATCGGGGTGGCTTCGGTTCGAGACACGTACCAAACGCGTTACCCCCAAGGAACTTTAGTCCGGATAGAAGAAAAAAAAAGAAAATTAATAATCGCGCTAATCGTTTATATATGTTTCACACGTGTGTCTGTGTATTGTATATATATATATATATATATATGCATATATATACTATTATATATATACATATACGTATATAATAGATATCTAAATAATTATTATTGTACATGCGACGCCCTTGTTCTCACTTCTTATTCTCTCCCCTAATAACCCTAATAATTAAGTAATTATCTTTTTTTTTCTTCGTCGAATACACGCAGGAATCTTAATATCCGCGCGAATTTTCTTTCTTTTTTTCTTTCTTTCTTCTTTCTTTCTTTCTTTCTTTCTTTTTATCTTCCCCTCTTTCTCTCCTCGTTTTCCTCGTTATTCTCGTACACGCTCACATATACGTGTACGCACTCGTACATATACATACACACGCCACACACGTAATTCTGACCTACCCAATATACTAGTAGAACACGCGCGTCACATCCGGTCGGTACTAATAAAATTCTATTAACGTCTTGTACTTCGTAAAAAGTGCTTGCCAATTACGCATTGTCGTGTTCGTATCGTTCGTAATTAAATCATCTTGTGTACATACATCTATAAATATATATTGTATTATTATAATATATATATATATATATATTTACTCGTTTATTATACGCGTACTATAAAGTGTATGTGTTATTTTATATATATATATATATTACTTTTTTTTTCTATTTGTGTGCATGTGCTCTCTGTCACGTGGATGTATTTTAATGTATTTTCAATGTTACTCGCGTATGTGTCGAATGTGTGTGTGTGTGTGTGTGTGTGTGTGTGTATACGTATGCGTATGTCTTGCCGGAACAAAGTCACGACAAGGGTTACCTAAACTCTTTGTAACTCTCTTAATACTGTCAAACAACCATATCCGCTATAAATCAATAATTAAGGGAAATCAGCGCGAGAAATGTCACTCGATAAAATCGCGGAGGATCGTATGTTATTCATACGATACGATCCTTCGGTATCCTCTATCGTTTTTCCTCGTTCGTCGATTATCTGTTTAATATACGATTAAAAGCGGCGCGAGGGATTGAAACGTTTTTTTTTTCCTTCTTTTTTCTTTTTCTTTTTTTTTTTTTTTTTTTGCCTTTCTCTCAGTTACACAATCCCTCCCATATCAAATATTTATTCAACACTCGCGATGTGTCGCGATAAATCTAACTGAAGATCCTTAACTGAACGATTCTCGATTCGATAATCTTTAAATAATCGTCTTCTAATGGAAGAATCCTCTTCTCGAACGAATCGTCGTCGAAAATCCCCCCCCGATGACGATCATCGAAACGAAAATCGAAACAACCGAAAAAACGAGATTCGGTTTGGCGGCCTTTTTCCCGTTCATCCAGGAAAAGAAATGTACAACAGGGGTGGGGAGGGAAGGATAGAGAGTTGGTTCAACGGTAAGCTGCCCTCAACAGGAACTCTAATTAGGAATTAAATCTAGTCGGATATGTATGTGTGTGTATGTATGTATTGCAACGTGACAACAACCTTCTGGCAAGAGATACGGGCGAGATATGCTACGAGATTTTTCCACCCTCTATTTACAATCGATCCTAATACAACTTTTATCCTATATATTTATATATATATATATATAAAACGATACGAAAGTAGTACGGGATATCATCGTACAGCCAAACGTACTGATCAGTTAGTTACAGCGAGGTAAACTTAACTTAAATGTGTGTCACAACGTTCGTGGACGGAAATGGTTCACGCTCCCCTCGCGCGACATTTTTTTTTTTTTTTAGAAGAAACAATTTGAATCGAGAAAATTTTTCCCCTCCAATTCATACATCGATAGATCGAGCCCTCGTCAAGATTATAACTCGATCGATGATCAATTTTATTTATTTTTCGTTACGAATTTTTTAGTAAGAAATGTAACGATTTCAATTTCGATAGGAGAAATTAAAGTAATATGAATTATTATTTTATAATGACGGAGTAGTTGTAAATTTCCAATTCCGATTTCGTTCATAATCGACGATAGGCTCGAGATGTTAAATAATAACAAAAACAGAAGGAAATAGAAATCAATTTTTAAAATTGATCGAATATTTAAAATTCCAAATTTTAAATAAGTTAGAATAAGTCGAGTAATGGTCGAGTAAACGTGCGAGAGGAATGGTAGAAAATAACAAGAAAGATAAGGAAAAAAAAAAAAAAAGAAGAAAATGAAAACGAACGCGATTGATAAACGAATCGATCATCAACGATCATCCAGGCCCCGCATCCGATTTTGGATATCTCGATCGCTTATCGGGCTATCTACACAGGACATTTATAACATTTAGTTACGCTAAGTAAGTACAATCTATCTCCTATATATTATATACAATTAGAACGAGTCTTTAGGAACTTTAGAACAGAAACTCGAGAGCTACTTCGGTCTAAGAACTAAGGGATTCGTAAAGAAGACGCGATAATCCAAGATCCTCGCAAGAAGCCTCGATCGAACCTTCCTTCTTCTTCTTCTTCTTTTTCTCTCTCAACTTTGCACCTTATAATCATCGATAATTTAAAAAGAATAAAAATAAAAATAATTCAATCATTCTCCAATTCTCTTTCAATAATCATTCATATCGAAGAATAGAAATAAAAAAGATCCAAGCGTTGTGGAGAAAATTTTTTTCCCCTTAAGACGCAACGACGTATTGTCTATCAGAGTTTCGTTTTCTTTCTTTTCTTTTCTTTTCTTTTCTTTTTTTTTCCCTTAACTTTTCAGTACTTTTGGCGAACGATTATTAAACTAAACATTAAGAGGAGGATCTAAGATCAGAGGAATACTTATATCGCCTATATTCAATGTCTTACTATCGTATATATGTATATATATATATACATGTATAGGGACCTGCGTACGATAGAATTCGAGGCACGTGCAGTTTTCACGACGATGACGAAGATGAGATCGAAAATCGAAGGGTTTTCACGAGATTCGCGGTTAGAATTCGTTCACCAATTGCTTGTTCTCTCCTATTTCAGGACGTTTCAGGGACAAAAAGATTGGGAGTGGAATTTGCGTGGAAAATTTGCTCGAAAAAAAAATAATTTAATAGCTTTAATAAATTTCTTAGATTCGAAGAGAATCGAGCGTGAAATGATCATAATTTGTATTCATGATTTTTGTCCAAGCGTTTGTTCGACAAAAGAAAAGAGAAATATTGCAAATCTTAATTAGGATTAATGAGAGGAATAAAAATTCGAAAATTGCTGGAAATTAAACTACCACTCTTAAGCGAAGGGGACGAAAAATTTCAATTCTCGATAACACGGACATAACATAATTATTAAATAGAATCAACGTGTTATAAAAAATAGATCTGTAAAAATATGAAAAAAATATATACGCGGCAACGGGTGAAAAATCTCATAAAAATTTTTTAGATTTTCAACAACATTCGATAATAATTTATCAAATTATTGCACATTTTTGAAATCATCAGATCTTTTCTCCTTTTTTTTTGTTTTTTTTAAAAATCTTCCCCCCTCCCCCTCTCCCCCCCTCCCCCCGATCAACGACACATTTCAAACAATTGTGTTACTTCTTAAACGCTAAACGAATTAAAAACGTTCAACTACGTCAACTACAACTTCCCTTGTCTAAATCTCTATATCAATTTTTGTACTATGTTATAATTCGTTCGAATTTCTCACTTTTTCGAATAATAACAACAACAATAACAATCATAATAATGTTAATAATAAAAATCGACGAGATGGATCAATCGAAACAATCGGAACGCGCATTCACGGAAAACGCGTGATCTTACCCTTTCGAAAAAAAAAAAGAAACGAAATCAAACGAAACGAAACCAAATGAAATCGAACCGAACGAGATCAAACGGGGAGGGAAAAAAGAAAAAAAAAAAAAAAGAAAGAAAAAAAAGAAGAAACGAAAGGAATCGACAGACGATTTTAATACGATTAAAAAAAAAAAAAAAAAGGTAACGAGATAGAGATAGGGAATAGAGGAACAGGGAATGGACGAAAACTCGAAATCCTCGCGTCGAATATCTTAATGGCCGCGGGGAAACGGAAGTCGAGGCGAGCGCGATTCGGTTGCGCGGTTCGGGGAGCCATCAAGCGGGGGAGGAGGATGACCTAAAACCCTACGTTAATTGGAACTTTACTAATTGATTGTACTCTACGTGAGCGGCGCGCGGCGTTCATTAATTCTCTTCTCGATTGCACTTTACTGGGCGATCGTTGTTCCGCGTTTCGCGGCGTAATTGCGACCTCGAACGTGTCCGTGCACCTATCAAGGGAAACGACTGCGACCGATGCGTGCGTGTAAATAGGGTCGACGACGACGTACGATCACGACGACGACGGCGTCGAATGCTTCTCCTCGTTGGCGATCCTCGAAATCACGAATTTCGAGGCAAGAGAGCGTAAACGCGGTCTCGAGATAGTTCTGGTTCTGGGTATCTCGAAAATTCTGCGATAGCTCTAGTGGACAGGATGTACTCGTCCGACTTTTAAACGATCGAGCAACGTTGGAAATATTTTTTTCCACTCTTGTATTTCATCGATGCGCGGATTATTTTTTAAAAAGTATCTTAATCTTCTTTCGCTCGTATCTTCAATTCTCACGATCGAATCCCCAAAGTTTGCGGACGCTGCGATCCAGGCATTGACTTAAGCGGATGGATTTAAGTTAATGGCTCGTACAAGGGTTGGAAGTTGGATGTTCCAGCATCATTGATGAACCGTTAATTTAAACTCGATTTCGTTTAAAATCGATCGTAAGGGGATCGTAACGTGTTTCGCTACGTACGATCGTAATACGAAATTAATTAATACGTCGTTATGATATATAACTCTAGAATCATAGTGATTTTCGACGTTTGTGTACGCGGTTTAAAATATCGTCAGTTTAAAAAAAGGAATTCATTTTACACGACATATAATGCAATTAACGAATACGAAGCTATTAATTTTCTCTTTCTTTCTCTCCGGATTCTTTCGTGGCCGTCGCTCTCGCTCGAATGCCTGGCGAGATCGTCGCTCGCGATCGTAATTGGTAATTGAGTCGAGGAGAGGCGATACGTCGTCGAGAGTCACTAACGCGTGGAAATTAAACGCGCCGCGATAAATGAACGAGAGTGGCCCTCTTAGGGGAAATCGTGGAAAATGTCCGACCATTCGTGCTTTTTCCTTTTTTTTTCTTTCTTTTTTTTTTTTTTGTCTGAGCAGCGTATGGACGAACGTGAGATTTTTCACGATTTATTTATCCCTTTCTTCCTCTCCTTCTCTCTTTCTCCCCGCAATTAACGAGGTATTGTGCGATC